CCAAGTTTGAATATTCCTCCTGTAGAGGGACAGGCCCGACTTGAGACTAGAGAGCAGACAACCCACCCTCCTAACATGCACCCCGACAAGCGAAGCCGTCTAGCAAACGCACTCCAGGCACAGGGCAGGGCTGTTCAGCAAACGCCAGGGCCGTCTAGTAAACGCCAATCGTCGGGGTCGGGGTGGCTTTCCCTCCCTCGAGAGACGCCATCCCAGACCCCCGACGTCATGATTCTGTCATCACGTCGACCCCAAAAAGTCGCGACCCATTCCCTGGGATCCCGAACCGTTTTTTGACAGCCCCGAGGCCCAGCAAAGGCCCCCTCCCGTCACAATTTGTTCATTACTCGAGGTGCACGGTTTCCCCCGAGGCCGTAGGCGACCCGAGGAGGAGGAGGAGGAGGAGGAGGAGGAGGAGGAGGAGGAGAAGGAGGAGGAGGAGGAGGAGGAGGAGGAGGACGCGAGGAGGAGGAGAGGAGATAGAGGAGGAGGAGGAGGAGGAGGAGGAGGAGGAGGAGGAGGGAAGGAGAGGAGGAGGACGAAGAGGAGGAGAGAGGAGGGAGGAGGAGGAGAGAGGAAGGAGGAGGAGGAGGAGGAGGAGGAGGAGAGGAGGAGGAGAGGAGGAGGAGGAGGAGGAGGAGGAGGAGGAGGAGGGAGGAGGAGGAGGAGGAGGAGGAGGAAGGGTCGCCCAAGCCCTCCGGAGAAACCCTCCAACTCGAGGGGGCTTGGCCCCGTGGGGGGCCTGGGCGGCTCCCCCGGCCACCCTGTGGGGCTCTGGTCTGGCCTCTGGCTCGCCGCCGTGCTCCCGGGGTGCCGACGAAAGGTTGGGCGCCCGAGTCATCCGGGGCAGCTCAGGCCCGGGGTACGTCGTGCTCGGAGTCCCGAAGAACGAGCCCGAGCTATAGCTCTGACCCGAGCTACCCCTGAAGATGTGGGGCTCTGGGCGCCCGAGTCATCCGGGGCAGCTCGGGCCCGGGGTACGTCGTGCTCGGAGTCCCGAAGAACGAGCCCGAGCTGTAGCCCCGACCCGAGTTGCCCCTGATGAGGTGGGGCTCTGGGCGCCCGAGTCATCCGGGGCAGCTCGGGCCCGGGGTACCTCGGGCTCGGAGTCCCGAAGAACGAGTCCGAGCTGTAGCCCCGACCCGAGTTGCCCCTGATGAGGTGGGGCTCTGGGCGCCCGAGTCATCCGGGGCAGCTCGGGCCCGGGGTACCTCGGGCTGGGAGTCCCGAAGAACGAGCCCGAGCTAGCCCTGACCCGAGTTACCTCTGATGATTTGGGGCTCTGGATGCCCGAATCATCCGGGGTAGCTCGGGCCCAGGGTAACCCGGGCTCGGATTCCCGAAAAACTAACCCGATTTAGCTCTGACCCGAGTTACCCCTGATGATTTGGGGCTCTGGAAAGGGTCCTTCCGGCGCTCGCCGCCGTGCTCCTTGGGTGCTGTCGAAAGGGTCCTTCCTTGGCGGCGCGCACAAGGGGGTGGGGGGAGGGCCTCTCAGCAGGAGGCTGCTTCTTGGAGGGCGCTGGCCTTGCATCTATAGAACCTATAGGTCGGGCCCGCGCATTCCAAGGAGCAGGGGTGCTTCTAAGAAGCCCTCCCCAATCCCCCCACACCCCTCTGCGCGTGGCTGACTTCCGCCGCCGTGCCGAAGGGGGGGGAGCGCCGCGAGGTCGGTCGGCCGGCCCGAGAGTCTGCGGGCGTTTTGCGCGCCGCGTTGCGGAGAGCTCTCGCCCCGAGAGCCTGCGAAAGTCGAAGCCAGGACGAGGACAAATTCGGACAAAGATGCTCCAAATCGTCGACCCCCCTAAAAAACCCGAGACCCGCCTCCGAATGCGACCTAATATTCCGGACCCCCCTCTTCGACGGGGCGACTTAATAAACCGGACCCCCTAAGCTCCAATCCAAAGAAAGCGCCCTGATAAACCGACCCCCCTAATTACGAAAAAGGCGACTGAAAAAACCGGACCCCGGGGACGATTAATAAGGGATTTGAAGTTAATCGAGAATCTCTGAGCTCGAGCGACTGTGGAGGATGTCTCGGGCGCCGCGGTCTTCTCAGAGCGTTCTGTAACGATCCGAGAGCGTTCTGGAACGTTCTGCAACGGACTTATCCTCGTCCTGGCCCCGACCGGCTTCCTCGCCGACAGCGCAGCGCACGGAGCAAGAAACGACGATTAATAAGGGATTCGGAGTCTGTTCCAGAGCGTTCCGGAACGCTCTCAGATCGTTCCAGAACGCTCGGGGCGCTGAGCTCCCACAGAAGCATCCGTCCGTGCCGTCGTCTCTTGCTCTGTGCGTCGTTTCTTGCTCTATATGCGCTGTGCTGTCGGCGAGGAAGCTGGACGGGGCCAGGACGAGGATACTCCAAATCCCTTATTAATCGACCCCCCCTAGAAAACCCGAGACCCCTCCAAATGCGACCTGATATTCCGGACCCCCCTCTTCGACGGGGCGCCTGAATAAACCGGACCCCCTAAGCTCCAATCCAAAGAAAACGCCCTAATACACCGGACCTCCCCAGCTACGAAAAAGGCGGCTTAAAAAACTGAACCCGGGGAAAGATATCAGAGCGTTCCAGAACGCTCCCAGATCGTTACAGAACGCTCTGAGAAGGCCGCGGCGCCCAAGAAAATCCTCCACAGTCGCCCGAGCTCAGAGATTCTCGATTAACTCCAAATCCCTTATTAAACGTCCCCGGGGCCCAATTTTTTAAGCCGCCTTTTTCGTAGCTGGGGGGGTCCGGTTTATCAGGGCGCTTTGGATTGGAGCTTAGGGGGTCCGGTTTATTCAGGCGCCCCGTCGAAGAGGGGGGTCCGGAATATCAGGTCGCATTTGGAGGGGTCTCGGGTTTTTTGGGGGGGTCGATTGATAAGGGATTTGGAGTATCCTCGTCCTGGCCCCGTCTGGTTGATGCTGCACATCCGAAGCCTCTGGGGCTCCAGCTGGGCAGGCCGCAGGGCAGGCTGCGAGCACGCAGCCGCTCGCCGGCCTCTCCAGGGGCAAGACTCTCGCGCGGACGCTGCTCGCTCCTTTGTTTCGGTCCGGGCTCGGCGTGGCACTGGGTCGGGCGCGTCCCCCGACAGGCGGACCTTCGACGAACAAGTATCACAAATAGTCAGAACAGACTCCAGAATTGACCAAAGCAGTCGAAAAATCGCCCCCCCAGACCATCTTTTGACTATTTTTGGGATACTCCTCCTGCAGAGGGACGCGCCGTCCTGCTGGAAGCTCTCGCCCCGAGAGCCGGGGGGTGCGCCTCCGACTCCGACCGACCACCCTCGGAACGAGGAGGGGCACCCCGCCTGGAGCCCGCCGGAGCTTGATCGGCATGGAGCACAAGGCCCACGAGGCACAGTCCAAGGGAGGAACGCTGCGAGGGATGAAGCGGATGCTGTCCTTTTGCGCTGGCCGCGAGGGGAGTTCTGAAGTGGGCGCGACGCGTTCGACTGGCGCCGTCGTGCCGCTCCACGTCGCGGGAAAATGCATGCTCGGCCGAGGACGAGACGCGATGTGGGAGGAGTGGGGAGGCAGGAGGATGAGGAGAGGCTAGCTGCACGCTGCCCACGGCCAACCGTACCCTGCTTCTGGCAGTCTGCACGCTGCCATGATGACCAGCATGCGCCGCCCCCGACGAGAACGAGCAGCGGTCATCTCGGTGTGCTTGTGGGTGCTCTTTGGCTCCCCCGAGGTCCCCAGCGAGCGATATGCAATCGGGAATGCCGAACGGAGGGATTGTGACTACCTGCCACCCCAACCCAACCCGAAGACCCGAGTTTCGGATTAGGGGGGTACGAGTTCCATACGTGTGTTTTCAACGTTCCCCGACCGCCCCCTCCCCCACTCTGGAAATGGAGGGCACATGGAGGCCTTCGGGTTGGGCCGGGGTGGTTTGGTGGGTGGTAAGATTGGGCTGCGAAATAATCCACCGCAGCCCGCTGGCATGTGGCACCCGGGACTGACCCGCTGGCCAACTCTTCCTTTGGCAAGGCCCGCCCGGAAGCATCCCAAGGGCGCGCGGCACCACATTTAGGTCGGGCATGTCCCTCTACAGGCGGATCTTGGACGAAAAATAAAACAGACCCAACGAAAAACCAAAATTAACAAAACAGATAATCGCAAATTCGTCCCCATACTATTTTGGACTATTTTTGAATATTCCGCCTGTAGAGGGATATGCCCGACTTAACACCACGTTCAGAGTGCACCAGGGTGGAATAGCTAGGTAACCGACGTCCACAAACTACCAAACGTATCCAGCCAAACGCGCGTCGATTCGCGAAAGCAGCGGGCACCGTTACGCCGCGAAGGCAAGTATCGAGCGAACGGGTGCGGAATTCCTGAATCGGCCTGTCTGGGTTGGCGCTCTCTCAGCGCCCGATTGTCTGCGGCCAGCTGGAGGGTGAGACTCGCTGCGCTGCCGAACGAGCACGCCTCGGCGACGGCTGCACCTCCCTTGCCGGCAGCACGCGCACCCAGTGCCATTTCGTCGTCTGCGCTCGACTTGAGATGAATTGAACACGACAAATGGTGTTCTCCCGCACTCGGCGTACGGCTCTGCTCGTTACTCACACTCCCTCTGCTGTATTCTGCGCTAGCCGAAATCCTTAGGTCGGGCGTGTCCTCCTACAGGGGGACGTTGGACGAAACGTTTTAAGCAGTTTAAAACATACGCCAAAATCAAATCATACCCAGAGTATGTTTTCACATATTTTGAATATTCCTCCTGTAGAGGGACGTGCCCGACCTAACGGTATCCCCCACATGCGCGGCGCGCCCAGTGGCGAATGTAGAGGAGGCGGGCCTCGTCGGAAGGCTACGAAGCCCATCGGCCTTCACAGCGACACTTTCCAAGCCCCTCTCCGAGGCCGCAGCGGCGTAGCTGCCCCGATCCGAGACACGCAACACGCAGCGTACCGATGAGGAGCTCAACACGTACGTTTTGAGCACGGACGTTTTGAACACGGCACGTGCTGCGTTTCAAAACGTGCGTATCAGAGCAGCTAAGCACAGAGGGCCTCTCCGAAGGCTGGAGGGCCTCTGAGAAGTCCCGCCGCCTTCTGAGATGGCCTGCCCCCTCTCGCTTCACTCCAGGCGCACCGCCGACCGCAATCTCCAGCCTCGTGCATTGGCACGATCAATGGCGGTGAAGAGGGCAAGCTCTTGCGGTGGTCAACCACCGACAACCAAAATTGCGGCACAGCCTTGCCGCTTATATAGCTAGAACAAAAAACACATAAACATAAACTGTTGGCGCTCCGCGCTGATTTCTTGGATCCGCGCTGGGCCCACCTCTCCAGCGCGCGGAGCGCGCCAGGGAGGGCGGCGCCGGAGGCGCCGCCGGGGGGGGGCCCAGGCGCGGATCCAAGAACTCCGCGCGGAGCGCCAAAAGTTTATGTTTATGTGGTTTTTCTTCTTCGAGTAACTCCAGAACCTGTACAATTCTGCCGGCCTCTGTCAACGATGGCATCCACTGGCCAAAAACATGTGCCGAGCAGTGCGGGGTACTTGCTGCGTGCATGCCGCAGCCCAGCTGCAGGGCAGATCCGACGGCCCCCCTCTGGGAGGCGCCAGGCTACCAGGGGGGCACCTGACCTGCTGGATGGCTACATTTAGCTCTTTGCGCTGCCTGCGGTGTTTCGCCTCTTCGCCTCCTCGAGTCGGCGGCGAGCCCGGGGGGGAAGTGAGAAGGAGATGGCCTTCTCAGAGGGCTCGGACGTCCCCCGACCTTCCGAGGAGCTCTCTGAGCCTCCCCCAGAGGCGCAGAAGGCCTCTCAGAGGGCGCGAGGGCGCCTGAGAAGTCCCGCCGCCCCCTGAGTGGGCCTTCTCCTTCTCGTTCCCCCCCCTCGCTCGTCGCCGATTCTCGAAGGGTGGTCGACAGGTTTTGGCACCCCGTGGCCACAGTGCTGTCGACTGGGACTCCCAGAGGGAGGGGGCACGCCCCCCTTCGCTGTCCACGGCAGGCGTGGTGTACTTGTAGAAGGGACCAGACTTTGACTACCACTCCTGTCCAGCGGCTTCTCGTCGCCTCTTCTATCTCCTCCTCCTCCTCCCCCCTGGTCCTCCTCCTCCTCCTCCTCCTGCTCCTGCTCCTGCTCCTCCTCCTCCTCCTCCTCCTCCTCCTCCTCCTCCTCCTCCTCCTCCTCCTCCCCTCTCTCCCGCGCCAAGCCGCCCCGCCCCCGCCGCGTCGGGGCCCGGGAGTGCGTGGGGAGCCCCGCCCGGGGCGGCGAGGAAGATGGCCCAGGAGGGCCCAATACGCCCCCGACCAGACAACACAACAAGGTGATAATTTTCTTATTCGGCGTTTCGACATTGGGAGGAAGTGGGGAGGGGAGTGGGGAGTGTCTGGCTCCGGACCTCTGCTTAATGCGACTGTTTGCAACAGCTCGTCCTATGGTGGAGACATCACATGCCTGAAACAGGCGCCCCAAACAGCCAAGATCCACTCTATGGGGGGGAGGGGGGGTACGAGGGTTCGCGCCGACCGGCAACACAATAAGAAAACGATCACAAGGACAAACAGCAACGCTTCCAATCTATAGTTTGCGTGCCCCGTGGTTTGCAACCAATGCGTCTGAGGAGCGCTTGAAGACGGTCCCCAGAGCCCCAAAGCTTGCGCAAGACAGCCTCCAGGTGGCCCCCCATAGGGAAAGAGCCCCCAAGGTTCTGGCCACGTCGCCCAGGATGGCCCAGCACGCTTTCAAGACGGCCCCACGATGGCCCCAGGATGGGCCCAAGAGCTCCAGAGGCTCCAAGATGGTTCCAAGCATGTAGAAGATGAGCCAAGGTATCCACCCAAAAGATAGCATCGTGCCCCCGAGATGCCCCATCGTCGCAGTATGGCCCAGCCCGGAGGCGGGGCGAGGTCGGCCGCCTTCGTGTGTTGAGCTCGGCCGGGGCGTCTTGCAGCGCTAGGCCACACGGTGCGACGACTGCGCGCTGCGCGTCGGGATCGAGAGGGCGAGCGCATTGTCGACGCCTGCGGGCCAGGCCCGGCCTCCAGCAGACGCGAAGCGGTGGCCCTCGGGACGCTGGCGATCTTGCCAACGGAGGAGCTGGGCGATTGAAAATACGCGGCCGCGGCTCCTCAGATGGAGGGCTTCTCCGAAGGGCTTAGGCGACCCGTCCTCCTCATCCTTCTCCTCCTCCTCCTCCTCCTCCTCCTCCTCCTCGTCTTCTTCTTCTTCTTCTTCTTCTTCTTCTTCTTCTTCTTCTTCTTCTTCTTCTTCTTCTTCTTCTTCTTCTTCTTCCTCCTCCTCCATCCTCCTCCTCCTCCTCCTCCCTCCCAACACCTCACTCCTCCTCCTCCTCCTCCCTGGCCTCCTCCCTCCTCCTCCTCCTCCTCCTCCTCCTCCTCTCCTCCTCCCCTCCTCCTCCTCCTCCTCCTCGCTCCTCCTCCTCCTCCTCCTCCTCCTCCTCCTCCTCCTCCTCCTCCTCCTCCTCCTCCTCCTCCTCCTCCTCCTCCTCCTCCTCCTCCTCCTCCTCCTCCTCTCCTCCTCCTCCTCCTCCTCCTCCTCCTCCTCTCTCCTCCTCCTTCTGACCTCCTCTGTCCTCCTGACCTCCTCCTATCGCTTCCTGCGCTCCTCCTCCTAACCTGCCTCCTCCTCCTGGACCTCCTCCTCGCTCCTCCTCGCGTCGGCTCCTCCTCGAGCGAATCTACTCCTCCTCCTCCTCTCCTCCTCCGTTACCTCCCCTCCTCTGCCTCCTCCTCCTACCTCCTCCTCCTCCTTCCTCCTCCTCCTCCATACCTCCCTCCTCCGGCCTCCTCCTCCTCCTCCTCCTCCTCCTCCTCGCTCCTCCTCCTCCTCCTCCTCCTCCTCTCTCCTCCTCCTCCTCCTCCTCCCTCCTCCTCCTCCTTCGCGCTGCTCCTCCTCCTCCTCCTCCTCCCTCCGATGTAGCTCTCCAGCTACCTCCTCCGCCTCCTCGCTCCTCCATGCCTCCGTCCTCCTCCTCCTCCTCCTCCGGTCCAGTCTCTGAGCGCATCCAGGACAGCCTCCTCCTCCTTGCCTCCTCAACTCTCTCATGCCCCTCACCTCACTCCTCCTCCTCCTCCTCCTCCTCTCTCCTCCTCCTCCTCCTCCTCCTCCTCCTCCATCTCCCTCCTCCCCCTCCCCCTCCTCGTCCTCCTCCTCCTCCTCCTCCTCCTCCACCTCCTCCTCCGTCTCCTCCTCCGTCTCCTCCTCCTCGTCCTCATCGGGTCGCCCACGGCCCCAGAGGAAACCGTGCAGTCTTAGATCCCAGTGATTTCCCAACACGGCCAGACACCAGAGGCCGTGCAACTCGGCAGTGGGCCACTGGCTCTATCTACACGGGAGCCGAGGCCAACGCACCGTGCACGCACAGCACGTTCCCCAACCATGGCCTAGTCGGCACGCTGCTAGCCCGTGGCCCAGGAGGAGGAGGAGGAGGATGAGGAGGAGGAGGAGAAGGAGGAGGAGGAGAGTGCCCGTGGCCTCGTCGGCACGCTGCCAGCCAGCGCGCCCCGCAGGCCGACCGCTGTGCGGCGCTCCATTCGCCAGCGCACGCGGCGCCCCATCACGCAGTAAAAAAAAGGCCCCACCTTCAACGTCCATTCCCCACCCCTTACTCTCATGTTGCTCCCATCGTACTTACAAGTCCACATTCCAGACATCACTTCGAGCACCTGGAGAAGGTCGAAAGAGTGTCGAAAGAGTGTCGAAGCAGTGTCGGAACAGTGTCTCCCAGGGCCCGACACGAGAAAACCCTGAAGTGTTTGGGTACTTGTCTGGCGCTCGAGATTCTTTCCGGTGATCCAGGCTAAAGTAGGCTGGAACATCATAACCCTACTCTGCCCACCCTGTCGCTTGTTCCAAAACCGTGTGGTGACAGGCAGTCTGGTGACCTCGACATCCTGCAAGGCCCAACCGCACGGTCGGCCCCCGCACGGATCTGGGACCTCGGAGGCCCCAACCGCCGAAAAGAAACATCCTCCTCCTCCTCCTCCTCCTCCTCCTCCTCCTCCTCCTCCTCCTCCTCCTCCTCCTCCCTCTGGCTACAGAAGGAGAAGGCCCCAGCCGCCGAAAAGAAGCATCCTCGGAGAACGGCCCAAGGCCCCCCAAAACCGTGCGGCCACCCCGAATCCGAATCCCCACTGACTCACCACACTGCGTGTGGTCACCGGATTGGTTGAGGTCTGGGACCGTACATGGACATTGTATTCGAATCGTTTGGCCCAAGATGCCACCCATACCCCGCGAAATTGAAATTGATGGCGTGGCGACGGGGGGGGGCGTGAGTGGACAGAAATACTCGAACCCCAAAGCACCGCCTGCACTGAGATCAACATTGATGTCGGGGGCGCGGGGGTGATTTAGAATCTCCCTCGAACGTGTAAGGGTTCGAATGTGTTGTCCATCCACTGGAGCCCCCGACCCTCCGCCAGCCTGACCTGTTCAGCGAGGGCTGGCGTCGAGCCGACGCCAGCTTGCAGCACCATGCCAGCTCTACGCTGCCACGCGCCGTGGCCGGGTGCCGGCTGGACCCTCGTCCAGCGCCGATTCAAGAAATCCGTGCGGACCTCGGCGGCAGGGTTAGGTCGGGCGCGTCCCCCCACAGGCGGATTTCCGACAAAGAATTAAACATAGTCTAAACATATTCCAAACATGCCAAACAATAGTCAACAACATCGTCCCCGGACGACTATTTTCTGACTATGTGTGAATCTTCTCCCTGTAGAGGGACGTGCCCGACTTGAGAATGGGGCGACGAAAATCATGACCACATATCCGCTGCTCGCCGGCCAGGCCCGTCCTCGGCCCGGCAGCGGAGTGTGGGCGCCACCGCCATAAAATACTGGCTTGGCCAGGGGGGCGTAATTACTACACGGCTCCTGGGTTGGGGACGGGCCCAGACCCAGGGAGCAGCGGCTGTGTGGGGGACCTCGCCGGCCGAAGCCAGCGCGCGTTTGCGCCATCGATCGTGAGCACGGAACCGAGACCCCCTCGAGCATTGACAAAATCACGACGGGAGGTCTTTCGCCATCTTCGGCCTCTGGGGGCCCTTGCCGGGCCCCGGGGCCGTCAGAAAACGATTCAGGATGAAACACCGGTCCTGGGGAATAGGTTCAGACCTCGGGGGGTCGACGTAATGAAAAGAGTGACCCTAGGCAAGAGTGACCTCTGGTGCGCGGCACTACGGAGGCGCGGGGGGGGGGAGGGCCAAACCCAAGCACGCAAGCCGCTGATGTCGCATCGCGTTCGGCGATAAGGGGACCCGTTTGGGCCCTCACCACAGGTCACTCCGGCGAAAGGTCACTCTTACGTCTAGCCTTAAATCGGGCCTGTCCCCCTACAGGGGGATTTTCGACGAAAAATTAAAAATACCCCAAAACAAATCATCCAAAAATAATCCAAAAATAGTCTGGGGACTATTTTCTGATTCTTTTTAATTTTGGAATATTTTTGGAGTATTTCTTATTTTTCGTCGAACATCCCCCTGTAGGGGGACACGCCCGACTTAAGTCTAGCCGAGGAACGCGCGCGTCCTGGGGGCAGCGGGTCCTGGACCACTGGGGCCAAGGTCAGGTCGGACCTGTCCCCCACACAGGGGGATCTCGGGCGAACAATTTGTTATATGACAAGGGTCACGTCGTCGTTTTTTCTGTCTACAAAACGTCTCGAGTCGTTTTTTTTCTGACAAGGGTCACGTCGGGCCTGTCCCCCATACAGGGGGATTTCGGACGAACCAATTTTTTGGTCCCCCATCACTCGGCGTACGGCCCTGCTCGGTCCTCACACTCCCTCTTCCGAACTCCTCGCTAGGCGCCATCCTTGGGTCGGGCGTGCCCTGCTGCAGGGGGGGGGTGGACGACAGTTGTTCAAGAGTCAAACACATACTCCAAAATTGTCAAAAATAGTCAGAACAAATCGTTCAAATACTATTTATTGACTGTTTTTGCAGACTCCTCCTGTAGAGTGGCATGCCCGACTTAAGACAAGAGCCCGAGGCCCGATATCGATGGGAAAACGCCCGCTAGAAAAATCAGATCGCCGGAGGTCAGGGCTTCCCTCAGGACCCGCCTCCCTTAACAGGGAGGAGGAGGAGAAGGAGGAGGAGGAGGAGGAGGAGGAGGATAGAGGCCTCGTGGGGTTGCCAGAAATTTGGGGCCCACCCCTGGGATTTAGGACAGGGGGGCGTACACCCTCGATCTCGCCATCGCTCGGACGTCCATTCCCTGTGTTTTTTCAGATTCGTGCGTGGTTTTTTCGCCAAATGATGAAGGATGCTCCTCGACGGTCCTCGCCGAAGGAAAAATGCACACGTCCGAGCGACGCCAAGTCGATAGGGGTGCGCACGAATAGCCCCCTGGGGATATATCCCAGGGTTTCCCTCCTTTTCTGATCGGCTTCAGTTTTCGTCGAGAAGTCGGGGGCTAGGGGAGAAACATCGCCTGCGATCCTTGATGGCGAAGTGCGCCTCCTTTCTCTCCTGCGAGGCGCCCTTCCCATTTCATAGCGTTTCCCGTGACCATACAGGTCTTTCACAACAGCCACGACAACCCCATTGAGCTGCGCGTCTCATCGATCCCTCACACGCCCCTCAGAACCCCCACCCCCCAACAACAAGGGGATCGTCGGAGATCAGGCTTTCCCTCGTAGGCGTCTTCTAATTCTAGGCTTCGACGTTTGGCCGAAGGCTGGAGTGTGGGGGGGGGGGAATCTGGGCCCGGCGCGAGCATAATGGGGGAGGGAGGGGCCCTGACCAGTCGCTACAGGCAGCCGCCGAGAGCAGCCAGCCAGCATCTGGTCCGCGAGGGGGGGATGACGGGAGGGGGGCAGGGGCCCGCACCGATCGGTGACACAGGAGGCAGGAAAGAGACGGCGACCTCGGGAGCCGCTCCCTTCCGGGCCGTGTCGCACTAGGACCTCGCGGAGCTGCCCGTGGTGCTCCCGGTCCCGGAGTAGGTGCGGGCGTGGGCCGGATCCGCCGGCGGCGCGGCCTTCTCCTGGAGGCTCCTGGCAGCCCGCAGCTGCTGCTCGGTCCTCTCGAGCGTCCTCTCGTAGTGGCTGATGACGTCGGAGGAGGACAAAGACGTCACCAGCAAGCCCACGACACATTTGCAGATGCAAGCGTGTAGGCACTTTGTGTATATACTTCCCCTGCGTGTGTACAGATGTCTACACATGTATGGGCAGACCTTAGTGGGCCCTGGAAACGACAAGGCCGTTTGTTTACCGGTTCCGTTTTGCCGTTTGTTTGCCGGTTCCGACGCCGTTTTTTTAACCGGTTCCGTCACCGTGTTTTGACCGGTTCCGGCTCCGGTTCCAATCCTGGAGCCGTTTTTTGCCGTTTCCGGTCGCCGTTTTTTTGGCCGTTTCCATTTTTAAGGGACATTTTTTTGGCAACGGTGAAAAAACGGCCCTGCCGTTTCCGGGGCCCACAAAGGGGCAGACGTGACAGTTCCAGCCGCTGCTCCTGGAGTTTGGGCCCTCGGCAGTGGCTCCAGGGACACCCCCTGGAAGGGATCGGGACCCTGCCGCGGATGGAGCTAAGCAGGTCGGCGGGCGTCAGGATGCGCACGACCGACAAGCTACCAACAGGAGCGCGCCGAGTAGAGAACGACGGGGCGCTTTTTGCTGACCAGGGCCGGCCTCGGCCAAGAGAGCCCGCTCCCCGACCTATGGCATGTGTCCGAGCCAGGGCTGGGGAGCCCGAGCCGCTCCTGAGCACCAAGTGCTCGTTGTTTCAGCGTCCTGACTGCAGACATCGGTCGGGCATGTTCCCCTACAGGCTGATTCTGGACGAGACGTCAAAAACATACCCCCAAATATGCAAATATCCGCGTCAATAATCGAAACATCCAAGTGGGGTCCAGCGCCGACCCATCAAAACCCGCGTTCAGAGGCCTCCCAGATGTGGTCCGAGTAGATGGGGTCGGAGGATTGGGCCGCGTCGCCGATGCATCGGCGCCGTCGGCGTGGAGCAAATCAGTCTCCACATCGAGCTGCATCGCCGATGCATCGGCGATTGCGGCGGGATCCTCCGACCCCTTGTCTGCTCGGGGCCCATGTGGGAGGCCTGGAGCGTCGGCCTCCGACAGCTGATGCTTGCGCCGTCCTTGTCCTCTTCGAGATCCCCGAGACATTGTCGGTGTCGTTGCTGCAGCCCGCCACGCTCCGCCTGCTGAGGGGGGAGCGCTGCGCGGGGAATCATAGCTTGGGGGGGACACGTCGCGCAGTACTCAGTGCCGCATCGCCGACAGTAGGAGAAGAGAAAGAAGGAAAAAACAATAATACGGACAACGCCATACACATACAGTATTACACGTCGTTCACTTCTAATCGTGCTCATTTCTAATTGTGCTCGTTTCTAAGTGTTCCTGGCCCCCTAGTGGCCAGGAAGAGGCCCAAGATAGAACAATTAGAAATGAAAGGATCTTGGCCCTCCAAAAATCAAAGAACTTTCGAATACTTAGACATTAACAGTGTGTATTTTTTGGCGCAGCGCGGATCCAGAAAGTCCGCGCCAAAAGCTTATGTGTATGCCGCTTCTTCTTCTTCTTCATCGAGGTAAGGATCGGGTAGCAAAGGGCAGCATTTTGTTGCCCCCATCGTACTTAAAGGCCACATCACAAAAATAGTTTCGAGCACCCGGAAAAGTGTCGAACGATTGTCGAAACAGTGTCGGACGAGTGTCTCCCAGGGCCCGACGCGTGAAAACCCTCGAGTTGTTGGGTATGTTTCTGGGTGCTCGAAAATCTTTCTCGTCGTCAAGGCTACAGTAGGTTGGAACATCCTAAAGGCAGGGTCGAGCAGCCGCTCACGCAGAGGCTTTGCCTGGGGCCTCCTCTGGCGCCGGGAGGCGCCCCGTGCGTCGAGGAAAGGGGCTCCGCGGCGGCGCGGAGGCCCTCTGCATATATGCGGCAGATGCCGCACCCCCCCTCTCCCTACAGTAGAGTTACGTTGCTCCCATCGTACTTTGAAAATACATCCCAGAAATAATGTCGAGCACCCGGAAAAGTGTCGAAATAGTGTGTCGAAATAATGTCAAAACAGTGTCGGGCGAATGTCTCCCAGGGCCCGGCGTGAAAACCTTAGATTTTTTCGCAGCCATCCTGTGGTGTTGGGTCCTCGTTTTGAAGAGACAGCGCCCCGCGTCCCACCTCCTCTCCTCCTCCTCCTCTCCTCGCCCTCCTCCCTCCTCCCCCTCAAGCCACTTGGGCTCAAGCCATTTTGGCGTGGAGCCCTCCTCCTGTGCCTGCACGAGGTGCTTGGGGCACTTCACCCGCGTTTCCTCGCCCACAGAGGGGCACCGCTGGTGACGACCAAAACAGGAGGATTTCTCACGATGTCTCGCCCTTGGTCTCGCTGCACCTGCGGCCGTTGCCAGTACAACGACCTGCTGATCCAGCACGACCGAGTCTGCCAGAACTGCCAGCGGCAGGTGAAGCTCTACAAGCCTCGCCGCTCGCCCCCACGTCAGGACCCTGTCGCTGCAGGTGCGGACGACGGTGACCAGTCGAAGTCGCGGGGCAAGGGCAAGGACGGCAAGAGCACGAGCAGCACGGCGTCGATCTCCACCATGGATGTTCCGTCCCTGCTCAAGATGGCAGCGAATGGCACCGAGAATCAGGAGTTGAAGAAGCTGCTGCAGGGTGAGGCGGCCAAGCTGCAGCCCGTGGTCCACAACCCCGCCGACGGCACGGCCGAGGCGCTGAAGCGCGCCGTCGGCGCATGGCGTGACGCGGACCACAAGCACACCCAGGCAGCCGCCAATGTCGTGAGGTTGCAGACCAACCTCGACCTGGCCCTCCAGCGTGAGCGAGCGGCAGCGCTCACCCTCGCTCAGGCTGAGCGGGCCAAGAAGGCAGCCACGGCCGCTATGGCCCAGGCGGAGGGAGTCGGCGCACTGCCACGGGAGGAGGAGAATGGGCAGCGTCCCAAGTTCGCCCTCTCCTGGGATCGTACACTATTTGAAGGTCTCGAGGACTTGGAGTGTGAGGAGAATGAGCGGGCGGACCTGCGGAAGGTTAAGACCGACCTCGAGCAGCTCCAGGCCCATCTCACAGGTAAGGAGGCCGAGGTCTCGGCCATGTTCGAGAAGGCGCACGCGGTGAAGCATGCCATCGCGGAGCGCCTCAAGAAGAAGAGGAAGACCGAGGGCGGCCCCGCCGAGGCGGACAGCAGCGTCGGCGGGAGCGAGGGGGCCAGCGGCGCTGCCACGGCGACCGAGGCGCAATCCGCTCCCGCACCGACAGCAGCCGACATGCCCGTCGGCGAGGCCGACGACGAGGAGCTGAGGATCGCGGCTGAGAAGATATCGGCAGCCAAGCTCTTGGCCCAGAAGAAAGTCTTGGAGGAGCAGAAGGCGAACGCAGCCAAGTCAGTCGGCAAGGGCAAGGGCGGTCAACCAGCTGATGCAGAGGTCATCGGCAAGGGTGGCAGCCGCAGCTCTTGACTATCTCACCGTGGGAAGCAGCACGAGGGCGAGCAGGCGTCGACCGTGAAGGGCACGGGCGAGGCTGGCATTTCGGGGCCCTCACCGCTGCATGGGGACAAGTGCGACGACTTGTCATCTATTTTCTTCGCCAATATCACATGTATTGGCGACAAAGCGTGGACGCACCTCTCCACCAACAATTTCGATATTGTGGGTGCTGTCGAGACTCATGTGGCGGAGTCTGACATTTCTACATGGGATAAGAAGGCTCGACGTGCGGACCTCAAACTTTTGCCTAACCCAGCCAGGGGTCGGGACAAGCGTGTCTCGAAGCATCAGCAGTCCAGGGCCAACGAGGGGGGCGAGTGGATCATGTGCAAGGGCCACCTGCAGGTTCACACTCTTCTCTCTCAGGCGGGGTCCAAACCACTGCGCGCATCTGGTCACCAGCATCTAGATGGATTCCAACCAGTACTTGTACACATGTCGGGGTATACTATCGCCCTCATCGTTTTCTATGGACATCCCAGCTTTGGATTTCGCGGCCCCAACGTCGCTCGGTACCAACGACTGGGATCACTCCTGGACACTTTGAGCGTTCCATGGATCGTTATTGGCGATTTCAACATTAGTGCCAACCTCATGGAGCGCTCCCAATTCATGAAGCGGCTGCTTGGCCGACCACGAGTGATGCGTGCCGATATCGAGTCGACTTGCAACCAGGGCGCTAAGGACGGCTCCCACATCGACGACCTCCTCGTGTCCGAGGCGGCTCTCTCATACGTTGCTGACATCACTCCTGTCGTCGCGGTGCCATGGAAACCACACATTGGGATCTTGGTGCACCTTCGTCGATCAGGCAAGCAGTTGCAAGCTCGGTATTTCGACATGCCTCGCAGGCTGCCACAGGCGGTGCGCCCTCTTGTCGCCCCGACGCCTGGCTCGAAGAGCAGCCGTGCGAAGGCCGAGCGCGAGGAGCGGTCTCGCCAGCGCAGCTCCGCGAGGAAAAAGCAATTCGATAATTTCTTCAGTGACCTCCTACAGGCTCCTGAGACCGAAGGGCACCCCGACGAGGCTCGGAGCGATGCTAGTTTCGAATACCCTGAGGATCTCGAGCATAGTGACTTGGAGGAAGTAGGTTTCGAATCTGAAGAGGACCCATGGGGTCACGAGTCTGAGTTTAAACCAGCTGTACAAACGGTGGTAGGAAAAGGGCTCCCCGCAAAGTCTGGTGACCCCTCGTCTGGCAATTCGTCTGACCCCTTGGGCAAGGTTCCCCCAGGGCCTCAGGTTGAGCAGCCTCCGAGTGGTGCAGGAATTATGCACCGAGCCCTCCAAGAGCCCGCGTGCAGCATCAATTTAGACCCCGACGGCTCCCCTGCCCCCGAACCTGAGTTCTTTATCCCCGAAGTTACGTGGCGTGAATGTAAGAGGGAAGTAGGTTTCACCCCAGCTAATGAGACCCCCCCCCCCCTCGTCTCCCTACCTCCGCTCCGTTGCTTTTCGGCTCACCGAACCTGCTTCGGTTCAGGCCATCTCTTCCCTGTGCGCAACGTGGGTGAGCGCAGCTGAGCTCACCATCCGTTCGCATCACACTCTCCAGGACTCTCCTGGCACCAGCCGCCGCGATGGTGCCAGGTTTCGTATCGATGTTGTCCACCAGCAGGAACGCCACAGAATGACGCCTGTGAGCGATGTTGTCTCTGGCTGGTGGACTCGCGTTCATACCATATTGCCTGGGCTGGTCCGTCACTTTCGACGGGACAATGGGCATCGCCAACGCCGTCGCTTACTAGACGCCCTCAGACGACATATGGATGATCGCTCAGAAAAGGCTCACACTATTCTACGTTCTAAAGAACCTTCTTGGAGGAAGTGGCAGCAGGTATTTCGCCTTATGTTGGACGAGACTGACGTGGACCCGCATCAGCTCCAGTTGTATGCAGATTTATCGCTCAAGATCTCGGGCAGGGCGCAGAGGCGAGCCCTGTCAGCTGCTATGCGGGACTTCGGCTCCTGGATGGAGTCGAGTTCGGCTCTCGGCGCGCTGCACCGCAACATCCGCCAGGAGCCAGCTGTTCGGCAGGAGCTCGAGGTCGACGGGCGGATCCTATTTCAGCCCATAGATATCGTGGACCGCAAGGCCGAACGCTGGAGGCGCAAGTGGACCACTACTGAGCCAGACATGGGGGCCTTGCGAGAGGCCTTTCGTCAGGCTCGAGAGCGCGCCGACCTGGAGCCCCTCCCTGAGATCACGGGGGAGGACATTCGGCGCGCGGCGCGGTCGGTGCGTGCGGGCACAGGGCAGGGCATCGACCGCATGTCGCCAGTGGACTTTGAGCGCCTTCCGCTGGCGGCGCTGGATGAACTGGCCTTTCTTTACATGGCCATCGAATCTCAGATTGCATGGCCCCACCAGGTCACGATGACCTTGGGGGGGCTCCTCCCCAAGAAAACGGACGGAGACAGAATTATTTGATTATTATCAATGTTCTGCAGGCTGTGGAGCCTCGCGCGCGAACCAGAGGTGCAGCGTTGGTCCGAGGCGTCTGCGCCTTTCTGGGGCGCGGCCGTGCGAGGCAATGCAGCCTTGCGCGAGGCCTTCATTCGCGCGCTTGAGGCTGAGGTCGGGCACCAGCTCGGCGTTGCCTCAGGCATGGGGCTGCTCGACATCGACGGTTTCTACGACAATGTGTAGTGGGAGATTCTCGTGCCGCGTGGCCTGGAGCTGGGTTTCCCTG